TGAGGCCCAGAAATCAGGATTTTAAAAAGATTCCCAGGTGATTCTAATGTGCAGCCAAGGTTGGAAACCACTGGTCTAGACTGAGCTCATCAAGAGCAGGGAGCAGTCTTTTTCACCTTTGCACCCCATGCCTCCCACATCCTAGGTATTGTTGCATATTTGCTGAACGAATGAACACATAGATTCTGAACAACACAGACTCTGAGCAAGGGACATTGGGGGACCGATCACTGGGACTCAGCAGGGTGGGCTGGCATCAGAAAGAAGTGCCCTGTGTCAGCTTTCTCCAGCTGCCCCTGGGACCTGACTGACAGTCTGCAGCTACGCTACGGCCTCTGGTGATGTGTGTCAAAGTCCTCTCCTTGTCCCTTAGCCTCACCACTTCGCCTCTTTTGCTCACAAAGTGAGGCCAGACAGCAGGGGAGGAATCCAACAAGAGGAAGTCTGAGGGGAGAGTAACTATTTAGTGATTCGTAGCATGATTTTACCTGAATTTTTCTCAGGTGGATGAAGCTTGTGAAGGTGAAGTTAGCACTAAATACAGGACAGCTGGGTGCAGCATGGTGAAGCGCTCCACCTGTCCATTGCCTTGCAGAACAGTCCATCATCAATGAATACGAGAAGAGCTTGCAGTTTGATGAGCAGTGTCTCAACATCATACTGGCTGAGTGGGAAGCAAACTCCCTCATCTGTCCTGTGTGCATAAAGTAAGAGGTTTCTAAACCTTTTCAGCATTGTTGATTCCCACCCTCCACTCCAAAACGAGTGGAATTTCCCCTCTGCTGGCCATGAAGCTCTAGGGTCCTAATTCTGCCTCTAGGTACAACCTGAGAATAACAAGCGGTGTGGTCATGTGTCAGTGTGGCCTGTACATCCCATGTCATGTAAGTGTTACACACCCAGATTTTGTCACCTTTGTCCACATGTATCTATTTACCTTAAGACCCTTCAGTAGTGTGTTGGAGATGGCTGTGCACATCTTTTCCCAGCTCATGTTCAGTTCACATTGGTAGCTTGAAATCAGCCATAGTGAGAATATATACAGCATGGAAATTGGCAAGCACACAAACCAGGGTGGATCCCTGCCCTCACCCCGGAGCCATTTGTTAAACACTTATCCATAAAAATTGTCCATATATGAAGACACACCTACACTCAGAATTTAAGCTTCAGTGATCTTAAAATTCAGAAGGAGCCCTCTTATCTGACATGACAGGGACTGAAAGTTTGTCAATTGATTAGAGTGGTGAATTATCAAAATGAAACATAGTAAATTTCAAGTATATAAATTTACTTGCCAGTCTTTGGGGCCCTGCTGATTGGAGAGCTGAGTCTTTTTTTTTTTACAGATCACTCTTATAATGCATTGCCTGGAGCTTCTAATTTGTTTCTGAAAAGTGCATTGAGAAGCTGAGTGTGCAACTTTAGGATTTTTCCTCCCTTTTATTTAACAGCTTTATTTTTTTAAGCAACTCATCTTTTTGAGTTTCCTAAACATCCCACATATTATTACAAAAAAGAAAACTTTGTTTTCATTCTCTTATTTTGTTGTTTAACACAGTATGTAATTACTCAGTTACAGTAGGAAATTCAATTAGCACAGACAGAGCTGGGACCAAGCAGTGCTGGCTCTTGGTGGGAATACCTTTGGCTGGTGGAGGCAGAAGCATAGGACGGCTCCAAGTGTCCCTGGTGCTGTGTGGCAGGGTGCTTTACAGAGGAGAGGAGAGCACTGGTTGTCTGGAGAGGCAGTCAGGTGGAGATTGGCTTAGAGACCTTTTTAGTACAATCATGAGCACTTTTAAAGGTCCAAGGAGTCAAGTCATCACAGATACAGGTTATCGTGAGGAATCAGGTTTTTCTACCTGTTGTTGATGAGGTAGCTAAGATTAGGTTGCGGTTTAACCTTTTTTTTTAGTCTCCAGAATTGACAGAGCAGAAACTTCGTGCCTGTTTAGAGGACAGCGTGAATGAGCACAGCGCCCACTGTCCTCACACACCTCAGTTTTCAGTCACTGAAGGGACAGGAAGAAAGTCCAGTCTTCTCATGAGCTGTCTGGTAAGCCTCCCGGGGACCCACGGTAGGGGCAGCTCAGTGTTTGGTTTTATCCCTGCTCTGGGAGAAATCATAGGTTGGAAACAGGTACATGCTTAAAAGCAGTTTATTCTCTGAGGAGTTTACTTGAATAGGAAAGTGAAGGTGACGAGCCCGTTCAATGAAAAGTCCAGTCATTCCCTGAAAGGGGCAGGACAGAGCAGCACAGGATGGTGGGAGGTGCATTGGACTGGAATTAGGAAGCCTGGCGGCACTGCCTGCTCGTTTGATTGGCAGCAGTGGCCTTAGGTGAAGCTGATTATTTCATATCTGTAAGACCAGGTAGGCCAGCCTGGTGCCAGTTTGACAGGAGGACATGGAACAGGAAGCACAGCAGGGCAGCATCAGGCTGGCCTCCTCAGCAAGAATCTTCATGGGGGACCAGGGGCTGCTGTCTGGCCCCCTAAGTGACAACTCAGGTGTGAGGGAACAGGACCACACAAATGGACGTAGAGCCACCCTGGTTTAGAACCTACGCTTGCTGTAGGAACCAGTGTCTCTTACAGTAACCTCTGGCTGTAGCTTAAGGTCCCAAGCAGGGGGAACCCTGGGTTGGAGCGCTCTGCACTTAGGGAGCTCCAGCACTGTGGCCTCCTCCTGGTATCTCTAGTTCTCTCCTGGCCCTCTCATTTCAAAGGCAGTTTACCTACAGGAGTTGTGTTTGTTATAAGCAGTGTTGCTTAGTACAGCCAACATTTCACTTTATCAAGTTTCTTCCATAAGTTACGTAATTCTATTTTTTAAAAATATGTTGAGGACTTGTTAAAATTCAAAAATATGCATTCTCTCTGAGTTCAAGTCTAGGGTTGGTAATTATGAGAATATAGAAAATAGGTAGTAGCCCTGGAGAGCTGTAGGGGGAGGGCCTATGAGAGTTCAGAGGAGGGGATTTCGTTTATGGATAAAGGCTTCCTGGAAGGCGTTTAACCCTGGCCTTCAAGTGCTGGAGGGAATGGGTAGGGCAGTTAAAGAGGACGTGAAAGATTGCCCAGTTGCTTAGCTTAGTCCACCTGCAGTCCTCTGCTCACTTGGCCATCGGTGCCCTGCAGCCCAGAGCAGGAGGGAAGCCAAGTGGAGGGGGAGGTTTGGAAGGCAGGTGCTGTGGAGGCATCAGTGGTGGGGACAGCACGATTGACAGTGCTGGCTCCAGGGGTGGAGGGAGACCATTGCTGGGCAGAAGGCAGTCATACCAAGATGAGAAACAGGAGAGGGAAGGACAAAATTGTTGTCAGTAGCCTATCCCAGAGTTTACCCCTTTGAAAAATAGATCATTAGGAATGCTCTGGAGTCCGGGGGGCACTAGACATCTTTCTCTTAAGGGGAAATCAAGGACCATTGGGCTCAAGATCCAGTGGGTCAGGCTGTAGGGTCATTAAGCGTGGGTGTGAGGGTGAAGATAGGTGTGGGTTACCGAAGTTGGGTATAGAGCCCTAAGGACTTGGAATATTGGAAATGTGAGAGGGACAGTGGCCTAGGGGTAGTCATGGGATGGGGATGTGTTAGACCACCAGAAAGCCAAGTATATTACCTATGGATGTGGTGTCAAGGTTAAGCACAGGATTCCTTAGCACTGTGGTGGGGCTGAGCTGTCAAGGAATCAGAAACCAGGTTTATATTCAAGTACTTACGGATTATTAGGGGAGACCAAGGAAGATATGCTGGAATGAATGGGCCTGAGCTGATTGTAGTCAGTGTGCATAATTTGTACCTCGCCATGGTGCACACCTGTTTCAATCCTGTTAAGCTGAAGGAACCCCACCCCCTTGCTGGGCTCTAATCGCTGTCAACTCTCAGAAGTCTGAATAACCTTTTTGGTCACAGGGTTCCTGAGGTGAGGATATCAGATCAGTCCATTGCCAGGATTTGTAGTTTGCAGGTACTATTGTTGCTGAGGGTTTAAAAGGCAGTTGTTTTGAGACCACAGGACTGACACCCAGCCAAGCCTCTTCAACTATACCCGCAACTATTTCCTAAGTAACTCAGTATCCTTTCCTAAGTAGGAGTTTTAATGGCAGCATAAATGTGATTGCTGATGACAACGTTCAGCCCTATGAATAAATCTTAAGCTACTTTCTCTATTTAAATCCAGGCCTGCAATGCTCGGGCTGCGATCATCTAGAGCCAGCCGTTACTCACATCCTTCTGCTGGGCTGGAACCAACTCAGACCGTCTGAGGGGGCCTTGTAAATACAAACCTTTAATTGTAACTTATTTTGTATTAAAACCTTTCAAACATCTTGGCTCTTGGTGTTTGGTTGTGCAGTTTGAAGGAGGAAGGAATACAAATAGAAAAGACATTGGGGGGGTAAGAGATCAACCAAAGGACTTGTATGCATGCATATAAGCATAACCAATGGACATAAGACACTGGGGGATAGGGGAGGCTAGGGGACTGTCTAGGCGGGGGGAAAAAATGGACACATATGTAATACCCTTTGTAATAAAAAATTTGTGCAGTTTGAAGGAGGAAGGAATACAAATAGAAAAGACATTGGGGGGGTAAGAGATCAACCAAAGGACTTGTATGCATGCATATAAGCATAACCAATGGACATAAGACACTGGGGGATAGGGGAGGCTAGGGGACTGTCTAGGCGGGGGGAAAAAATGGACACATATGTAATACCCTTTGTAATAAAAAATTAAAAAATTAAAAAAAAAAGGACATCACCTTAGAGATATATCATTTTTTATTGTCCATCATTATGTTATACAAAAATCTAGAAATAATAGATTTGTAAAGAAACAAATGAATAGTAAATAAGAGGGCAACAAATAATTTAAATCTCAATTATTTTCCATGATATCAGGGTGAAAACCATTTTAAAGTACATGTTTGGCTTCAGAGTAGGTTTTGTTCACTGGCAAAGCCTGCCATAGAATCCAAGTATTCAGTGTGTCGGTCCTACTGGCTCTTCACAAAACCTTTGAGGTCCTCCAGAAAAGTAATGTACTCCTGGTGCTCCAGGGCTGTGCTGAGCTCCACCAGCTCATCTGCAAAAGTGTTGTCTACCCCTCGGTCCGCAAGGAAATCCATGAGGTGGTCATATAAGGCCTACAAGGAGAAACATTCACCATCAGAAAAGTAGTATGACTTATCTGTAATACTCGGTAAAATGTTTGTCTCTCCTTGGTCCGGGACCTCCCTGATAAGGCCCAGGAGCACCCCATCTTATCAAGCACTCACCCAGTCCAGGGAATCTGTGTTGAGTGTGTAATTTGTGTCCTTCCATTCAGATTCGCCAGTGGACTGAAAGCTCACTTCCCTGATGGAGAAAATGTCACTCTCCCCCTCTTCTTCTTGTCCAACCTGAGGGGACAGACAGTAGTTGGGGAAACTGGAGGGCTTTCCAAGACAAGCCAGACGCATGCACAGAAAGGGGACTGTGACGTACCTCATCTTCTGGATAGTGACAGTCCAGCACGAGGGCCTTCTTGCCACCGCCCTTTATAACTTCAACCACGAAGTTGGGAGTGGATGTCAGTTCAGGCTGGGGAAACAAGAATAAGCGTGTGCCTTGTTGGCAGGGGTTGGCTGCCTGGACCAAAGGTCTCGATGATTCAGGGGGTCTAGAAGCCACCTCTGCCAGGATATTACTTAGCCATTTTCAGAGTCTTTACTATGGCGTTCCTAATAAGGGGCCGAGAATCTTTAAGAGTATTAAAGCCACGTGCCAGCTCATTCAGGGACCTGGGTGAACTCTTCCTATTGATCCTTTCTAAAGTTAAAGACAGTTTTCGAGGGCAGATCATCTTATATTTAGTAGTGTTTCACTTCTGTTAGCACCTACTTGTTTAAGTAACAGACTAGGTTTAGAATGAAGAAATTTGAATTCTAGCCCCAGCTATGTGCCAATTAGCTTAGATCTAGACCATTCCTTGATCTCCCGACCGTTTCCCATCCCTAAACTGCACAGGTGGCATAAAGCCCCAAGATCTCTTTCCAACTGATTCTGTTTCAGGATCATCCTTCAGCCCAGGGCCAAGGCCAGTGCATGTGGCTGACTGGCCGTCGAATGTCTGAATAATCACAGCAGCCCTCCCTTTGATGGTGAGCATCCAATGTCAGAGATGCCAGCGTGATGTCACCTGGAGGCTGTTTAGGTCTGAGATAGCACTGATACCTGCTTCGTCAGAGTCTGGGGACTCTGGCCCTCATACCAAATGGTTTCTAGCCCAGACACACTGTTTCCTAGAAGGTTTGAAGACTGGGCACCATCCAGGTCCAAGGTCCAACCACAAAGGCCAGCAGCTGCAGGAAGACCTGATGTTAAATCTCCGATGTCCCCGGCTTTACGCCCTTGGCCCAGTGGCCGGTGTTTATTACCAGCCTGTGACATGTCAGAACATTCCTCACATGAAACGCTCCAAATGATAATCTCCAATACCAGAGACCTCCCCTCATGGAAGGGTCAGACAGTTCCCATTCCTTTCTATCAGAACAAAGACCAAGCTCTTAAGCCCAAGCCTGCAGATGGTAACTTACGCAGCCCCTGGGGAAGGAAATGGGCCACCTCCTGGTGCTAAAGCTGGCCCCAATGGCTGCTCTACGTGTCAAGTCGCAAGGATGGCTGTCCTCTGCCTTCTCTCTCCCCTTCTAGCATTAGAGGAATTAAACACAAAACAATGGCCCTCCAAGCCCCTGGGAGAGCCGTCAGAACTCAGGTAGAGGCCGGTTACAGTGTTATAAGCTTACCTCCTGTTCTTCAGCCTTCTGCCCCTGGGACTCCTCCTCCCCATCAAATGTTGGTGGGATGCTATTGTTAATGTTGAAAGTGACTGTGATCCTAGAAAGTTAAAAGAAAACACAAAAGACAGGGTAGAGTTTTTACTGAGTGTGAAGTCAGTATTGAGGCCTGCTACAGTTTAAAATGCTTGTTGAAACAATGTCTCTACCCCAGCCGGCTTTACACTGTAATTATTACAACCTTCCAAAAAAGCCTGCTGCCTCCATCCCGTCCCGGAATGGATTCAGCAATATAAAAAGTGCCTACTATGTGCCAGATGCTGAAAGTCCAACTAACAGGCCCCAGTTTATCTCAGCCAAGCCAGCACCCCAAGGCTCACTGCCAACATTCGTCCACTGGTTCTCTCATGGCCATAGCCAGTGGACACGGCTCACCGTGGTCTTCCCAGGGTACCCTCCAGTGGCAGTGAGCAGCTAAGGAGCTGGTGGGATGGACTAGATGCCTCCTCTAAAAGCTTTTTTCCATCAGAAAACCTGCCCCTCGAAGGTAAGGAAGGAGGAGCACTAGAGAGCAGGATCAGCTAAGGACCAAGAGCAGCCCTGGCCCCAGGCAGGCGAAGCCTCACAAAGAACAGTATGCTGCAGTACAGACCCCGTCTTCAGAGTGCTTGTGGGGAGTTACAATTACAAAGCAGGACAGGAGCACCGCCTAATGACAGCTTTAAGGTGCAAGAACCCTCACTTGACAAATCCCGTTCCCCAGTTTGAGTGGAAATTAAAAGTGAGATGTGGAACTAGCACTGCGGGCTGTGCTACCCCAGTGAGCACTATCTGCTCAGGGCACTCCACAACGGTGCCCTCTGGAGCGATGCTGACGGCTGCTTTGCCAGGAAGCCACTCTCCCACAGGAACAATGGTTTCCGGTTCAGCCACAAAACCTGTCTCATCTGCAACAGTGCTGACCAGGTGGGGCTCCTGGGCACAGAAATGTAACGTTCAATGGCCCCGAAGTGGCTACGACTCACTCTTAGGAAAAAGGCGTAGGTGCCTTACAGAATGCACCCCGAAGTAACCAGCCACAAGAAGTCTGCAGCGAATGAACTACCTGGAACTTACGCAGTTACCCAGATGAACCCATGTGACTTGGAAGCCATGTAGCAAAGTTCCTGCCTTGACAGGTAAGGTTCTGAGGGTCATGGATTTAGGCGCTGGAATCAGGCTCCCAGTACTTACTTCTCTCCAGCAACATTCCGGGACAACTTGGCCTCTGTCCCATTCACTTCCAGATCCCAACCTCCAGACATCTTAGGGAGGGTCTTATGCTTCTGTATCTTCTTTTCCTCCTTAATTTCATCGCTCAGGAATTCAACAAAAGCTTTGTCCCCTACAATGAAAATCCATGTTACAGAAAAAGAATAGCCTACCCGGCCAGTGTGGTTGAGTGTCAGCCTATAAATCAGGAGTTCACGGTTCAATTCCAGTTCAATTCCAGCTCAGAGCACATGCCCAGGTTTCGGGCTCGATCCCCGGTGAAGGGCTTACAGGAGGCAGCCAATCAATGATTCTCTCCCTTCCTCTCTCAGATCAATAAAAACATATTTGAAAATTAAGAAAAAGAACCACCCATCATTCCAAAGTGACCCAGGTTCCTCTAGCCAGAGATCTGGACTAAGACTGGTAATCCTTCTCTGGGGCTTAGTCCAAATCACACCCCTAAGCCTGTGTCCTTATCGGTATAGATGCCCTAACACTACCAGTGGGAAGCTGAGCTTGACTCTGGAAAGGCGATTTGCAACAATGAACACATCACACACACAAAGCAAACGAGTTCTCAATTACCTTCTTCCTCTTGCCAAAGACAATAACTGGGCTACTTTCTTTTTTAATCCTCATCGGAGGACATGCTTCCATTGATTTTAGAAAGAAACATCAATGGGTAGAGTCTCTTACACACCCCAACAGGGAATCCAACCGCAACCTGGTATGTGCCCTGACCGGGAATCGAACATCGCTTTGTAGACCCTGCAACCAACGGCGCCACATGGGCCAGGCTGACCCGCCACTTTCTACCGCGACCTTGGGCCTCCCCAAAGTTCCGTTTGTGAGAGACTAAGGATAAAGCCAGACTCCAGGGTTTAACTGGACGCCCAACCCCAAATGGAACGCGCTAAGGACGGGGAAGGGGAATGGGACCAGATCACACGTGGGCTGATCATACTCTGCTCTCCGCTTGCCAATAACTGGGAACACGCTCCGGACCTC